AATATAAGACTATGCCTCAATGGCAGCATATCAGAGCCTTCTGCTCTAATTACAGGACCTATTACCAGTAAAAGGTAACAACTATTTAACTGTGCTCAAGACTATCTAGTTGTTCTGAACAGAAGAGACTAACACATACAGCTGAAACTACAAAGAATTAAGGTGGCAGATGGTAATTACTGATACTGGAAGTAAGCCTGCGTAAAGGTGGTTAGAACTTCAGTTTAATGGCTCATCTATGAGGTGTTGCACTCATGAAATAAAACTCTCTCATATTTAGATGGGAATGTGGCTCATTATGGACACATTAGAGGAAAAGAATTACTTCTTCTAAAGCACAAATATAAACTTTTCTTGTACATTTCTTTTCCAAAAAAAGACTTGATTAAGCCATGAGACAATAGACCAGAATGGCATGTGTATCACCAGATGAAAAGCCCTTTCCATATGTCTGTACATCAGAGGTGAAATTCTTATTTCCATTTCATTATTTTTTCAAATTATTACTGAATAAATAATGGATATTTATTTGACATTTTAATTCACAGTATTATCATCATGAGACACAGGATTTAATCCACAAGTCTGATTCTGAGTTTTTGCATGTAGAAAAATAGAAAAGGAGAGACTGTAAGTTAAATATACAAATTCAGTTTAAGATGTAAAGTTTTAAAATTCTGCTGCAATCTAAGTAACTCCAGCAAGATATGTAAAATTATCTCTCTAGCATAGATTATTCCTGCCCTTCCACTAGAAGCAAGTGAAGGAGAAGAGAATGAATGCCAGTTACATATGCCATTTGACAACTTCAAAGCACTACCCACTACAACAGATGCAATACTCCAATTGCATACATTGGTCACCAGTTTTCAAAGCGGTTATGTAAGTAAGTAAGAAGATTCTGAAATCATGGTCTCTGTTATCAGTTGATAATATTTAAATCTGTCTCAGTAATAATTAGAAATAATCAGAAAATTATCTACTCACAAGAATGATATTTCACTGCACTAATCACAAAGATGCAAAAACACTTCATTTGTATACTCCTTTTACATCAAAGTATTAATATAAATGTGGTAGTCATAGCAGCCTGATTATATGGCCAGGACAAGTTACAAATCTGAAGTAAAAGAGAAAAGACTGTTACCATTCTCTCAACTTTGCTCTGCTGTGATGTCTGTTTCACAAATTTGTCTTTGTAGGAAAAAACTGAGCAATATATAATTGTTCTGAGCTGTGGTGTTTAGTCCAACTACTAAGTCTGAGACCAGTGTCATTATAAAACTGTCTGTGAAGCAGCATTCCCAGAATCCCAAACAGTGATCAATACTAAACAGCTTCACCAAGTTTTCAATTTTTAAATGAAAATCACTTTTTTATGTACTGAAGACTGTTTGTTTGAAATGATTGTAAAAGCTGTAAAATTATATGCAACTGAGTGAGAAATGATCCTGGAAGCACGTGATGTTTAATTACATGCCAAGAAGAAATTACACAGGTTTTCTTTTTCCCTTTATACAAAGGTTTGTTTAACCATTTCAAATTCTGTTCCTGAGCCACCTACTACTTCTGTGTCTTTCAGTTTATTTTGTTACATGTGTTTTTGTACCTCTTCCTCCGTATAGGATACACTTCAAATCCTGACTGCTTCTGTCATTAACCCACTGACATTTTACAGTTAACGCACTCTTCCCAAGACTGTTTTTTACCTAGAACTGAGTCAGATTTCAATGTTCTGTGTATTAAGTCCAGTGTCTTAACCAGTTACATGCTTAATTTTCTGGAGCTGGAATGGGAAACAAGAAGTGTTTTTCAGTAATAAAGCAATTATTCTGGAAATAAACATGTCCAAAAGTACAAACTGTGTGTGTGTGTGCATGTTTGTGTGTGTATACATATACATATATATATATATATATTTGCAGAGTATACCACTATTCTTTTGATCTACCAGCCTCTAAGTTCTGATGCTACATTCTGAAGTGCTACCAAAACAACACACAAATCTTAATTCAAACATTTATTTGCAGAACAAAGATATCCAGATCTCAAAAATCATAGTAATGACCTAACTGTCCAAATACATGCTGGGAGCAGAACATGCAAGTAACACTAAAAATATTATTCCATACAATGTTCAGTGAAGGAGAATGTGTACAATGGGCAAATGCTATTAAGACTTGTATGCTTTTAAAGGACATCAGTTACAACATAAATTTGCAGGTTCTTCAGAAATCAATGAACTTTTCCAGAAAATTATAAATTAAATGGATCAGGGTAATTTTCAGGTATTTACACTCACAGCCACTAGATATGAAAGTAAATCATGTTGTTTTTCAATACCCCTCTTTACTGTTTATTTAAAGCGATACTGTTCCATTAGTCCTTTTGTGATGAAGAAGTGATCCGATTTAAGAGATCACTTACAAAACAAGTGGCCTCAGACATCTTCAGAAGGTAAAAAAAATGGAAATACACACATATATGAAATCATTCCTCATATTTTCCACATATTTTGAATATTATTTTGATTTCCATCAAAAGAAAACATATACTGTAGCCAAGTGTCTCAAGATTCAGAAGGACAGTCTTGTATTTTACGTCTAATGTACTACTTATATTGTTAGATCAGTACTTGTTGGATTGCGTCATTTTTAAAGGCTTGTCAATGGAGTAAGAAGGCAAGACTTTATATCCTTCAATTTAAACTGAATACAGTCATCAATTCTTCATTTATAAAAAATGACTGAAAATAGTTTTAGTAAATACTTAGAGACTTCACTGTTTTCCTAAGATTTTATGGAGGACACAATATATTAGAAGAGCTTAGGTATTAGAAATGTTTAAAATCAATTCTAAATCTCTTATGGCAATCACTCTAAGCCACTATGAAACTTACAAACAAAAAAAGAGAAAAATTTCCTAAACAAAATCTGAATTCTTTACTACAAATGTTGACAACATATTTCTAGAGTTCAAAACATCCCTTTCCCCCTCCCACTCTTCACTTTTCTCATTAAAGATGCCACAGTGCTATGAAAACATGTTTTAAAAAGTCCTAAGGGAAAAGTTTCCTAGGGTCTTTGAAATTCCTCCTTTTCCTATTTCTTTACAGATTTCTAACACCAACACTGTTCCTGTAGTTTCTCAAAAAAAAGGAAAAAAAAAATACCCTCTAGGTATAATCTTTCGATTTTCTATTACACTTCTCAGGCTCTTTTTGGTTTTTGAATACAAACTGAAACATGCAGTTATATTATTAACTGTATTTTAGTTTTAGTTAATCTTTTAGTGTGAAGAAATAGATGGCATTCAACCGTTCTACTGAACATACTTATAAGAATCACTGAAATAACCTGCAAATATTTTTAGTTTGATCTCTTTTCTTAATTTACGTCTTTTAAAATTTACATGTAGGCACAAACAAAACCAAACAAACAGAAAACCAAGCCAAACCAAACAAACAAAGAAAGCATTTCTTCCATTTCCTATCTCTATGATAAAAAGCACAGGGCAAGGAGCTATCCCCTATCTACATGAGAAATTCACTGCAATATAAACCCTGCCTCCATTTCTCCCTTTTCAAGCAAATATTTTAATACAATCATGTTAAGCTAGGGATTCCAAAATTTTCATCACAAAATCCAGCTGGATTTTAGAATACTTGTTACAAGATAATTTTGATTAAGCTGTTAAACGTTTGGCCACATTGACTTAGATGAGTCAAAGTGTTCAGAGACATAGGATCATATTACAGGCAGGCTAAAAACAGCTTTGGGCTAGTCTGTTTAGTTTAACAGATCCCATTACAAAATCAAGTGTTGCTCCACCACCTGCTTCCTAAAGGAGGAAGCACTTTCCATCATGCAAGTGATGAGGGATATCCGTTCACATTCTGTCTCCTATCTCCTCAAATTCTGTTTTCCTGTATTTTTGTTTCATTTTTCTCCTTGATTCTTCCTCCGCCTCTAAGACCATTCTTGCTATGAAGAATTATAGTAAGAAATCACCAGAACTTTTAATGTAATCATAGCCAAGAGTCACTGTACAAATTACTCTCTTGGAAGCACTGAATACCAATGCTAAGAATTGTCTAGCATCAGAACCAGAAAATCCACTCAGCACAACCATCTCTGATGTTTCCAGAAAAAGAAGTCATGAATTTTTCTAAACATTTCAACCAGATGTATGCCAAGATATTGAGTTACTGGATTGTTCTCCTGCATGTTCTTCACTTAAGAAACAACTCTGCTTATGACTGGTGGTGATGAAAGGTCATGCACCCTAAACCATTGTGTGCAGTATCCCTACACTGCTTGCATCAATTTGAATAAACATGGTCTGTATTTAAAATGCTCCTACAAATACTAGGTTTGATAACTGGTAACTACTATAGCCCTCTTTAATAATTAATATCCACAAAATTATGACAGGTGACAATAACTTACTTTTAAAGTACTTGTATTCAACACAAGCACTATTATGGATGACTTAAACTTGGAGCGAAAAGATTTGTGAAAAGGCATATGACCTTCTTCCTACTACAATGGCCATCCCCTAATTAAGCAATGCATCTGATAGTCATTAACAGGAATGAGATAATGAATCACTTTCTCTCTTCTTTGTTAATTTGCTGTAACCAAGCGGCTAATGGATGTCAGAGCTGAGTGATTGCACTGATTATAGTGATTTATAGTTGCAACAAAACAATTTAAAAGCATTCTGATTATTCATGTTAAAGATGCTTTATGTTTTGTTTACTAAATGTTTTATGTTCCCCCTCATGCCCCTCTACACACAATAAGACAGGTCTTGCTGGAAAACTTGAAAGTTCTAAGATTTTTTTTTATTGTTTCAGAGTAAGGCATTTCATTTTGTTTATAAAAAAAAGTTTACCCAGTAGAAATGAAAAGCCTTAGGGTGGAAAGAGAACTTCAGTGGTGTCTAGTTCAAAAGAAGACGGAAATAAGAGGAAATAAGGCAAACTTCAAGCCACTTACCTTAGGGCTCCCAGTCCCTTCCTCATTCTCTGCAGACACATCAGTAGCCAGTATCTCTGCTTTGATGATATCCAGAGCCCTAAGAATCCAGCTGTGTTGCCGTTTGATTTGCCTCTGTAGTTCCTTCCATTGACTTGCAATCATTTGCAGCATGTCCTTCAGTCCTTCTCCAAAATGAACAGGAAAAAAGAAAAGCTGTAAACTCAACATCATCTTTAAATATTGTCCTTTATTCAAATAATTAGCAGGATACTTAAAATAATAAATGCAATAAGAGGTTTTAATGTGTTTTCTTATCAATAAATCTAAGCTTTACTATTGTTCATCCTGGAAAACAATGCTATAGAGACAAACACTTCTTTTAGCCATCATGTTAAATTTTGATTGAGTTTCAGCTGACAATTTCAAGAGAAAAACTCCACATAAACTGTCATTTCTCTGCAGTAGGGAACACTGCAGAGAAATCTCTCCCTCTAATGTCCAGTCTTTGTCTTGAAACATTTTGTAATCCTCCAAAGATATTTTTCTTACCTCCATCCGTTTCCTTCATATATATCCTGTAATTTACACGTTACCATTTCCTACATTTGTGATGACATGCACTACCCTCCTTAGCTATGGCTTCTCTTTTTGGAACTATACATAAAAGTCAGTAATTTCCTATGGCTTTCATGTTACACAGATATGTCTGATGCTGTGAAACAATAGAGGCACACATATAACATGATGAGAAACTAATAACTTGAACCTGGATGAAAAGCATGTTAAGTAGGCCAAAATTAAGATGGCATTCCATAGCAGTATTTGCTGATTAAAATGCTATTAGCAGACAAGTCACGCAAACATCTAAAAATATAGGAGGTGGTAGGGATAAAGGGAAATCAGAATGTCTCTCTTCCTCCTCTCAATTTAAGGCCTCTGAAGAAAAAGACTAGTCTAACCAAAGGAAAAAGGTATTTTTAATTTTAATCTAGTCCTCATAAATATATTTAAATCAATGTAAGAATTAGTTTAAGTGGTACAATAAAGCTTTACCAATCCAATTACTCATGCAGCATATGTAAATACATATATATATATTTGAAATCCTAGTTCATTATCTTAATATTATTTCCATAGCACCTACATCAAAGAATATGTCAGTGTGAAGTTTTCAGTGATGTGATTTCAATTGAAACTCAGTCGAACAGCAAGACCAAAATAAAATGAACAGACTATTTGCAGGCAGTATTTCATTTTATAAGTATCACTGCATTGTATGCAGTATATGAAACATTTATAAATCTTGAAGGTCAATCTGATAATGTAAATATTAATAATACATAAGGAAGTGAATATATGCAGTAATTTACAGCAATGCTTCTTCATTCTTTAATAGTCTGGAGACATAAAGACTTGCAATATTTCAGAAGGATTTACCTGATTTGTGAGATACAATAAGCTCAAGAAGTTGGCGTCCTTCCTCTACCACTGCTTCTTTCAAAGCACAGTGGCTATCTACATTCAACTTAAAACTCTGCAGAAATAAAAGAAAAGGAAAAAAAAGGGGGGGGGGGGAACCTCAGCACATTGAAGAGGCAGTTATCATAAAACACACATACAAAATTACTTGCTGTTTTTTATCAAGAACCACATCCCAATTCACCCAATAGCCAAAATAATTTGTGATACTAAAAGCTATTGATATTTTGGATCTGGGCTCAAAATGTTTCCATTAGATCAGCAAAGTGCATCTGTGTTGAAACAGCTGACAAATCTAGACATTCATTAGGTTTTATGAAAAGTCACAACCCGTAGGCTATATCTGGAGTAACAGTGTTCTATAAAATACACTAAATTTATGCCACCACATATGAGCTCTGTTTTTTTCAGAGTTCTTTGAAATGTTGGTGATAGCACTATTTATGAAACCATAAAAAAATTACAACATTGAATATATCAGCCTTATGTGCACTTATACAAATCTATTAATATTGTGTTCCTGAGTTAACTCTCATATCCATTTTCAAGGAACATATCAGGCTGCTTTAGATCTCTGCATTCTTAATTTGTAAAGCAACTATTTTTAAACCTTTTTTTCCCTAATATTTTAGTAGTCTGCAAAGGATCTCTATTTCAACAGTCAATAAAATATTTTATTTCTTTTTTTATTATTATTTTATTTTTACAAATTGCATTAATATCTAGTGATAAAGGATCTGGAAACATGATCTACTATATGTTATGCCATTTACTACACCAATGATAACTTGGATAAACTTTTTAATCATATTCCAGACCTTCTCACTATACTTGACTGTAAGAAACAGAAACAAAGTACAATAGAGAAAAGGATACTTGCTGTATTTAATCATAAGTAGTGTGCAGACCTAAACTGCATACAGGCAACATATTTTCTCTTTGAAATGTCTATGGATTAAATGGAAACAATATTTGACCACTTGGAAAAAAAGAGCTTTTCTTTCTCTTGGGAATAAGTTAACTGGCAGAGATGAAAGGAGTCTTTGCAAGTGCACATTCATAGCTTCTGGTTTTTATAAAACTTTATACTTCTTCAAATGGTAGTCACCATGCTAGAAATGGAGTGATAGGTAGCACAGAATACTCAAGAGCCCTCAATTCTTAAGGAAGCAACCATTTTCTTTCCTAACCCTTGCAGTGAGGTTGATCGGCATAGCAAAGAAAAAAAAAAATATTGCCAGAAAAGTAATAAAATAAGGTACTTCTATTGTAATTTTTCATGCTTGAAAAAGGTATGTTGCTCAGACAGAGTGATAACAGTTTTTCAGGCAGCATTGTACCTGACAGTGACAGAATGTTTTTGAGAATTTTCCATTCGAATAAAGTGCAATAAACAGAAGTTTTTCTATCTTTAGCATTTTTATTAGCCCAATTCTCCTTGTAGGGACATCTGAATACACTGTTTTGTACCAGCTCCTGAACAACTGGGCCAGTCAAGAGGTTAAAAAGGAAAAAAGATGCCTAGTTTTTGTCTGTGCCTTTCTTAAATCTAGTTTTATGAACCCAAATCTACAAGTTCTTTTTCTTTCATAAGAGCATGTCTGAACAAGCACTGACAATATTTAATTTACTGTTTACTTAAAACAGGCTTGTACTGAATAGTTTGTAATCATGCACTTCACAGGAAATGCACTATGCGTGTGCCTCACACAGCAAAAAGAACCTAAAGGACCTGAGAGTAGGTTGTGTAATTTCATATAATTGAAGTTGAGTATAGATGCAGCTGGATGTGGCAGTGTCTCAAGATGATGTGGATGTGTTTGATAGGAAAATTGGAAAAGATGAGGTATTCTCTTTCATTAGGAAAAAAAAAAAGACACTTGCTGTCCTAGAAAAGATTCATTTAACATAACGCACCAGATACCACAATACAGCTTGATTTTCAGGTGCACCTATTAACCAGTAATAATGTTAAACTGAAGAAGCAAAATAAGATGAATAAAGATGGGGCCAAACTTTTGGTTTCTGACTAGCAATATTCTCCTTGTGCAAAATTCTTATTTTATGGAAAAATTATGAGTGGCACAAATGTCATGAACATGCATGAAATTTAGCAGAAATAAACTTTTCCCATCAGAGAGGCAGCATGTCATGGTTTAACCCTAGCCAGAAACTAAGCATAACACACAGCCTCTCACTTACTCTGCACTCAGTGGGATAGGGAAAAGTATCAGAAGGGTAAAAGCAAGAAAATTTGTGGGTTAAAATAAAGACAGTTTTATAGGACAAGCAAAAGCTGTGCACACGCGCAAAGCAAAATGAGAAATTCATGCACCACTTCCCATTGTTCAGCCATCCACAGGAAAGTGGGGCTTCATCACACGTAATGGTGACTTGGGAAGACAAATGCTGCAACTCCAAACATCCCCCACTTCCTCCTTCTTCCCCCAAATTTAGGTACTGAGCATAATGTCATATGGCATGGAATACCTCTTTGGTCACTCAGGGTCAGCTGTCACAGCTGTGTCTGTATCCAACTCCTTGTGCATCCCCTGCCTACTTGCTGGTGGCCTGGTACAAGGAGCAGAAAAAGCCTTGGCTCTGTGCAAGCACTGCTCAGCAGTAACTGAAACATCCCTGTATTACCAATACAAATCTATAACATGGCCCCATACTACCTTCTAGGAAGAAAATTAACCCTATCCCATCCAAAATCAGCAAACATTAAAGGAGAGAACCATTCATAAATAAACAGAAGCAAATGTTGTGGATGTAGTGCAGTATGAGTTTTGAATTTAGAATTATATATGTATATATAATTTCTAGTCATTCCTATGGAAAAAGAACTGGACAAGGAACAGTGGAAGGAATAGCCTTCAATCAATGCTCAAGGTTTCTCATACCTGAGGGGCTGAAAATATGACACATGAAAAAGACAAGAGTTGAAGATGTAACAAGTAATACCTGTATATACAATGGAGAAATGCAAATTTGCACAGCTAAAGATAAAATCAGACCAAATATTTGGAATGAAGGAAGACCTTCAAACACAGAGGTCCCCTCCCATCCTGGATATTTCCTGTTCCCTACCGTTTACTTATGGCATTTGGAAAATTGTAACTCTAACAGCGTGTGACCCAGGTACTCTGCTCCCCTCCTCCTCTGATCTTTCCTGATAATGAATGGAGCCTTTGCATGTGAAGAGAGGAAAGAAGAGGAGGGAAGTCAATTAATCAAAGCCATTTTTCCAGGCACATTTGCAGCTATAGAGCAGTCTAAATATCACACATAAGCACGTATACATTATGGAAAATGCATGTGCATTGGCCTGACAGCAGCTTTTTAAACAACACATTAATGTCATCCCTAGAACTACAGTGTATAAAATGTAGTTTACAAGCTGCAACAAGCAAAATTTCCTTACAAAGCTCTCTTCACTTGTGTGATCACCATGTACCTATATATAAGTATCAACTGCCCTTATTTAGCAAGAAAGGAAAAGTGAAGTAGGAATCTTGTGATTTTGGAAAAACTACATGATTATAATAAATGAAATTTAAACACCAATGGTGTAAATATAAGGCAACAGGAGTGATATCTTCTGCTGATGGAATGGGGCAAAGAAGCCCAGCCTTCACAAAATGAAGGCATCCTCTGACTTTCAGGAAACTTATTGATCCAGAAGATTACAATAGTACAGTCCATGGGTTAAAAAAGCAGCACCTCCTGACCTATGCTGGACTCTGAACACATTAAAAATAAAAGAGCACTTTCCCAGAATATAGTAATCTCTTCCTTTTATGTTACTTTTCTGTACAAGTGGGGATAAAAAGAAAACTGTAAAAAAAATTTAAGTTGTTCATAGGATTTATTTGATGGTTGTAGCTACTTAAATTTAGGAAGCTTCTATTGTGTAGGTATCCTACACTGTGTACACATATTGAGCTCTGATATGCAACATTCCCCCTTCTGTTCTTAGAAAATCTTTATAATTTGGTAAAACACCCAGGTCTTTACCTATTCATATCTGCAGAAAGGACAGATAACTAGAATTTGTTTGTTTGTTTGTTTCCAGAGGCACAAAGACTTACTATAAGCATAATTTTTTCAACTCATAATGTATCAGTTGATTGTTTCTGTACTGCCTCTGAAACACAAATCAGTAACTAGGTATTATGTGAACTTACAACGTATACATAAATATAGGTTAGTTTGGATGACACAGCAGTTTACACCTGTTGTCAGGTTAATACAATGTATTAAAAGAAATATCTTAATTTTCTCAGTTCAGTACACTATCAGATTGTGTGGTGCACTGGGGTACCCCTGAAAGAGAATTTTCATTAGGCTAATTTTTTATATTTTTGAACACCTTTATGAATAATATTACTGTTTCTAGAGTGTTTATTTTTTAGAGCAATAGTACAGACACCTAAAAATTATCTGCCTTGGATTCTACGGTTTCAGAATTTGAAAAAGGAAGATTAATTTTAAATTTCCTAATAGTGTTTTTGAGAAATCTACACTACTGAAATATGGACTTCTATATTTAGGTATAGTTGCACATATAATTTGGCTAAGAATGTAGCACTTTTAATTATAACACCTACTGTGACAGATATAATTCAATTGTGAAATTTAGAATAATGGGAACAGTTGCTGGTAGAAAAGATACAGGATGCCCACTTCATTTGTCTTAAAGGGAATATGACTTTAAACAATTCCAGAAAAATTATTTTTAAATGCTTAATGTACATGTACTTTTGCAAGTCTATTGCTCCTGGCACAGTTACCTTCCAATAATTTGCTATGACAAAATACGAAGATATCAAGTTCTGAACTCAATTTTTGATCATGGAATAGCAGCTGTCTATTTTCTTCTTCTTTTTTCTTCCTTCAGCATTTTTGATGACATAGAAAGTCTCTGTTTGGACAGTGCCTATTATTTAAAAATTTGAGTTAATAATTTAAGTTAATAATTTGAGTTAATAACCTAATAAGCCATGTAATAACCTAGTGGTATTTTCAGATTCATGAATACTACCTACCAATGAT